GGAAACAAGGGAAATGCCTTTGGAGAAGGCAAGCAATATTGTCTGATGCACATATTTTCTATTGTTTCTTTAGAGGTTCTTGGTTGCTTACTGAAACAGAGACACATTCAGGGGTTAAAATCAAAGACTAACATTGAAAATACCACCTTTTATTGAATTCTACAAAACAATAAAATATTTTGTGGAATGCTGCATGCCTGGGGTCTTCAGAGGGGTACAAGGAGAAGTAACAAAGTTAAAGTTACTGGAGAAGATTTTGAAGGAAATTTTCAGGGAATTTGGAGATTGAAAGAGAGAAAAAGTGTAGGGAGGGAAGTAGATATGGAGAGAAGGAGGATTTAAACAAGGATTTAAGCAGGTACCCATCCCCTTCATGTATTCAAAAAACACAGCTAAGAATGTGTGTTAATCTAGAATTGATGTCTGTTTGGCGGCCTGTGTCTCTTTTCAACATTGTTCAGTAGGACACATTCTCATTGTAGATCTCAAGCAAGGGTCAGGCATAGTATTTTCCCCACTGACCCTGTTCCCAATGGAAAAGCTGGTCTGGACCTATGGGAAGGTTCTATGCAAATTATAGGATATTGGAACCTCCAACATGATGCCCAAATGCATCTCAAATTCCAAGATGGCTGCTCAAGCTTTTGCCACAACATCACATTCTTACATGTAGGAAGGAAGTAAAGGGAAGTAGAGGAGGACAAGGACAGGGCTGGCCGGTTTCTTAAGGATGATTCTCAGTTGCTATCTAATGATACATCTATCTGTATAGATCCCATCAATCAGAATTTAGTCATGTGGTCAGACTAGCTATATGGGAGTCTGGGAATGTCGTCTTTATTTTGAGCGGCCATGTCCTTAGCTAAAGATTCTATTACTATGAAAGAAAGGAAGGGTGGATATTGAGGGGACAAGAAAAAAAGGAGCCTCTTCCAGATGCATACCCTCTCTATAAATGGGAAATGGACTAGCACTTTTATTATTCTCTGTTTTTGTTCATGTTATTTATTTAGCATGGAATGCCCTTGTCTCCCCCTTGCATTTTACATATCTCCCTAACTCCTTTGTTGTCTACTGAAATTTTTCTCACCTTCAAAGCTTAATTCAATGTCACTTCCTCAAAGGAATCTTCTTGGTTTTACCAATTAGAACCACCTTTTCTGTGCTCCCCAGCCCATTACTCCTATTTTTACTATAGCAAAGTGTACATTCCGTTTCACATTATCAGCAGTTATTTATTTTTTCCTTTAGATCGTAAATTTCCTGAGGGCTGGGTCCTGGATTTAATCATGTCCAAATCCATACAAGGCCTACTGAAAGAGAAGTAAACTCGTATCTTGTTTAAGTAAACGTAATTTTTTTTTTAAAGATTTTATTTATTTATTTATTTGACAGAGAGAAATACAGCGAGAGAGGGAACACAAGCAGGGGGAGGAGGAGAGGGAGAAGCAGGCCTCCCGCCGAGCAGGGAGCCCGATGCAGGGCTTGATCCCGGGACCCTGAGATCATGACCTGAGCCGAAGGCAGACACTTAACAACTGAGCTACCCAGGGGCCCCTAAGCAAATGTAATTTTGCATTATCACTCATAGCCGAGTGTACTCCTAACTAATAGAAGATCCCTTTACAGAGTTTGGCATCACTGTATATCTAAACTGGTGATTAGACAGATACCACCTACAAAGGGCTAGAACATTAAAAAATGTTAATGAATGGGAGAAGATTGGGAAATATTCTTAAATTGGTGCTATGATGTTTTCTCAATTTTTAGTGTTAGAAGGTTGGTAGGGTGGAGGAAGAAGGTGGGCTATGGTCTAACACACCTGATTTAAAATCTTGGTTGAGTGACTTAACAGATTTATGACTTCAGGTTGGGAAATTATTCTCCCTAAGTCAGAGTTTCCAGATCTATAAAATGGAAATGAAAACACTTACTTTGCAGGGTCATTTTGAGAATTAGATAAAGTGTTTGCAAAGAGCCTGGCCCTTAGAGGATACTCCTTGTTGGGCATTATCATAATCATTGTACTGCAGATTTGGAATGATTAGGGGAAAAGCTCTATGTTGTCCTATCCCAGAGCCACAGAGCTGATTATACATGGGTCAGGGGTTCTTGGAAGGAGATTTGCCATAGAAGGCAAGGAGTGTTATTACTGGTAACAGAAATTGAGAGCATATCATTTATACTCCGTAATTGTGATGAAATTTGGCATATCAACATGGACAATATCCCTTCAACATGCATTTTAAGTCTCTAGAAGAAAAACTTAGACACAAAGTACAAGCACTTATTGATGCTCTCTGTAGTTAGGGCAACATGTAGGGTAATAGTAAAAATGATAAAAGTGGCAATTCCACTGGAATGTGAGCCGAAGCGCACCTATTAAATTGGATCCATAGTTAAAATATCCTGGGCTTTTCAGAGTTCTCTGAGAAGGAGTAGTAAACCCCAGATTTTGTCTTTATTGACAGCAATATAGAAGTTATGTATATCACAGACCAAAAGCAATCAGTGACACAGCCGTCAGAACTTCAAGGGCAGAATAAAAGAGTAGATGCTGTAATTTTAAGGAAAATGGGAAAAGTTTATGTGAAGACTTGGTTAAAAAATGACTTGTGGATCCCCCCATCCCCAAAACATATGAGTAACTTTTTTGACTTTGTACCATGTAGAGCGTCCATGAAGTTTATGGTGTACTTTGAAGCGAATACCTAACATGTATTTAGCACATCTCAGTTTATTTAATGCTGTGACATGCCTTAATTCATGAAAGTATTATATTCATTTTCTGTTGCTGCATAATAAAGTAACAGTAATACATGTAACAGCTTGAAACAGCGCACACATCTATTTTCTCAGTTTCTGTCGTTCAGAAGTCTGGGCACTGCTTAGCTGGGTTGTCTGCTTGGGGTCTCACAAGGGTGTGATGAAGGGGTCAGCTAGGCTGCGTTCCCACCTAGAGGATCAGCTGAAAAAGAATCTGCTTTCAAGATCACTCAAGTTATTGGCAGTATTAATTTCCTATGGTTGTAGGACTGAGAGCTCTGGTTTCTTGCTGGGTCCTCAGCTACTGGGCACTCAGTTCCCAGAGGCTGCCCATTGTTTCTTGGTACATGGGCTTTTTCAACTTACCCATTGATTTTAATAAGTCTGGCAAAGAGTTTCTAGAGAGAGTCCACCAGCAAGATGGAGCCTTACATGACATAATATAATCAGAGAATGAGCTGTAACTTTCACTATATTCTATTGACTAGAAGTAAGCCACTTGTCCTGCCCACATCAAGGGGAGGGGATTGGACACCAAGAAGTAGGGATCATAGTGGGCCACCTGGAGTCTCTTGGCCACAGTTGTCAATACAGTTCTCGAGAAGGCTGAGATGTTCTTTCCTCTGTTGTACAGATGAAGATACTGATGTTCTATGGGAGAGGTTAAATGAGCTGGTATTCCTGAGCACACAGTTAATAGGAGGTCAGATTAAACTCAGGATCCCTGAAGTCTTAGTTCCATCCTACAATCATCAGTATTTAACCATCTTATATATATACATATTTTTTTAAATTTTATTTTATGTTATGTTAATCACCGTACATTACATCATTAGTTTTTGATGTAGTGTTCCATGATTCACTGCGTATAACACCCAGTGCTCCATGCAGCATGTGCCCTCTTTAATACCCATCACCAGGCTCACCAATCCCCCCACCCACTCCCCTCTAGAACGCTCAGTTTATTTCTCAGAGTCCATAGTCTCTCATTGTTCCTCTCCCTCTCCGATTCCCCCCCTTCATTTTTCCCTTCCTACTATCTTTTTTTTTCTACCATCTTATATATTTTTGTATCTACCCATCCACCCACTCTCTCATCCAACCACCCTATCATGTTCTTTTCACTACATCATGATTCTTGTATAAATGTGAGTAGTATTCAGCAAATTCATCTCTTTGAACCCAGCAGAATTGCCTCTTTCTCACTATATTAGACAGGTTAGGTAAGATTCTCCTGTGGTAACAAATAAGTTCAGAATCTCAGTGGCTTTAAAAACAAAATATTTCTTGCTATTTCATATCCATCACAGGTCAGCTAGGTGCTTGGCTCCACACTGTCTTTTCTTTTTTTTTAATTTGATTCTGGTTGACACACAATGTTATGTTAGTTTCAGGTATACAACATAGTAATTTGACACATTTATACATTTTTCTGTGTTCACTGCAAGTATAGCCACCATCTGTCCTATTACATTGCTATGACAATATGCGCCATGGTTTCTTACTTGAAGACCCAGGCTGCTGTTGCAGTCACCATCTTGAAGGTTGCCAATCCTCATTCCAGTGGGAAAAGATGGCTCTGGTGAGTCTTGCAATGGCAATTAAATGCTCTGAGCTGGAAGGGAAACACATGGCATTTGCTTAAAACTCATGGCTCAGAACCAGTAAAATGCCTCTATCCAACCATAAGGGAGCCAGAAAGTCCAACACAGCACTATTCCCAGGAATGGGGAAACCACAGAAGTAATTGGCATATAATTGGTGAGATAATTATTACTATAGCCATGAAACTAGCCTACCACAAAATGAGTCCCTGTCACCTTTGCATTGTTCATGGCCTTAGTCCAAAAAACCTCACCCAACCTCTTACAATCTGCTTCTAGACCTGTTTCTGATAGCCTCAGCTTTTGACCCTTGGCTTATTTACATCTTCAGAGCTGTAGCTCTCCTAAAACTTAAGGCCAGCCACTGCTTCTCCAGGTCTGGTTTCTACTTTTCTTCTTGATCACAATTTTTACTTTGTATTCTTAGTGACATTGTTCTTAGCCACTGTTTTCTGGATAAACAATTCACCAAATCTTGCTGCATTCCTAAGACCCTAAATCCAGACCCAGGCCTTACAAGCTAATGTCTCTGTGAAGTTGAGCAAGTCATTGAGAACACCATAATGAATGCTACATGGAGAGAAAAATATGATTATATTCTTAAGCATTCCCCTGAATTCTTTTCTTCAGAGATACTGTTGGCACTGATCTAAATTCAATTAGCAAGTGTCATAAGAAAGGGCAACATCAATGGAAGAAGTGGATCAAAGCATTAGACATGACTGAGCCCAGCAGGAAAGCAGCGCTGACCATTCTCAAGGTGAATAATTATCCGAAGAAAGGTGAACAAGAACAACACAACCCGTCAGTCGCACACCCATTTTGGCTCAATGGGAAGGCTGCAACAAGTGAGCTCAAATATTAATGCCACAGCAAACCATCTCAGAAGAATGTCGTATTAGCATAACATTCTCAGTGGGTGCCCGCACTGCTGGAACAAAGTACTCAAGAATAAAGAAGCAGCTGGACTAAATATATGTTCACAGCAGAAGAAATGTTTTTCATCCTACAGCCATATTCTGTTTCATCATTTTAAGCATTTCTGTCAACTCATAGACTAAATTGCACTCTACCTTGTTGTGCATGTGTTTCATGACCACCGTAGTGTATTAGAGATACTTGCCTGAAAAGAAGGAAAATGGTGGGTTCGGAGAAACAGATTCTGGGAAATGTCTTCTTTGGTAAGGTAAAACCCACAACCTCTAAGATTTAGCCCCCAGCAGACTATTTGCTGGTCAAGAGGTGACTAGATCAAGCAAGCCTCTTTCTGTCTCTGAAAGGCTCCTACAGTCAGACCATGTGGCCCCCAAGTCTCTGCAGCAATTCTGGGTCAGCTTTTAGGCTCTCACTCACACCTAAGCAAAAGTCCTTCCCTTAGTTTCCCCCAGCATGGCCAAGGTGGTCTGGAATTTATTAAAAGCTTTATTTATTTATTTTTATTATGTTCAATTAGCCAGCATATTAAAAGCTTTAAAAGAGCAAAGAGATACATAAACCCTTTCTTAAAAAATTGAAGTATAGTTGACACACAGTGTTACCTTTGTTTTGGGTGTACAACATAGTGACGGGACAAGTTTGTTAGAGATGCATAAGCCTTTATAAGTTATCTTACACATAGAGGTTTCTGCTCTTTTCCATACTTTGCTCATTGCTAGGGCTTGTCAGTCAGGTCACTTTCCATTCCCAGTCTAGCTAGCTGTCTTATCTGAGTTTCCCTAAAAACAGACCCCGACTCATGGCTCTGTGTTTGATTGGACTTGGGAGGCTACCCCAGGGAGCACAGTGGCAGAGTGGAGAAGGGAAGCAGGCATGGGAGGGGAGCCGAGTTAATGAGTGGGCTGCTCCAGCAGACAACCAGGATTTAGTCTGATAGGGGCCCTCTGAGACAGGGTAGAGCACTTCTCAGAATTGTCCTACTGAAAAGAGAGGAAGATGGGGTATTGATCCACTAGCTCCCATCAGTCACTGTTGAGACTTGGGCCTGGGGTATTACCTCTCCAGCGTTTCTAGCCTGCCAGGGTGGTATGCTGAGCACATTCCCAGAGAAAGACTGCAGGTAGAGAGATGGAGGTGCTTGAGGAAGGAGGCCAGCAGGAACGTGCACGTGAACTCCCCACGAAGCTGCAGGTGACCTCCAGGGCGGCCCAGCATCAGCTTCCAGGAGCCCTAACGTGTTAGCACAACTTCATAGGCTCCCCACTGCCCTGCTCCTGATCTCGCTCCCAGCTATCTTACTTCTCTATCTCACAAGGTCTTGTTTCTGGCAATGGTAATTCTCTTCTCAGTGCATGGTGTGTAAGCATGTGTGAAAACACACACACACAAACACACACTTTGTAGGAGTTTATATGACACTCCAGATTTTATTTCTCCTAATTCCCATTTCCCTGCTGCTAGAATGTGTCTTTGATATGCCATCGTGATGAAATTTACTCCTGCAAACACTACTACAGCTGTTCACATTCTTAAAAATGCACTGCAAATGAAACTATCATGATAAAATGCCTATAAACATAGAAACTTTTTGCTTGTAATGTGGTTGCAAATTTTCTGACACTACAGATGTGTTTAAAGTAAACATAGAACTGATCTGAGGGCTCTCATCAGTCCTCCACCCTATCGGGTAGAGCGTGAAAATGAAATTTTAGGTCGACATGGTACAGTCAGGCTGATCCTGTAATTGAAACAGTCTCTTTAAATTAGCTCAGTCTCTATGGATGATTCGGGCTTTCAGATTTTCTGAAAATCTGCTCCTCTCCAAGATGGAAGCTAAGGTAATTTCTTAATGTTGGTGGCTCAGGGCAGTCCCTTCTGTGCTCTGGCTCGTGTCCACTGAGAGCCAATTGGTCTGATCCCATTTCTGGGCATCCTGCTAGTTTCTGCTTCTGATGTCTTCCATTTGTTTTTATCAGCTTTGAGGTCCTCCCAGCTATGAGTCCTACCCAGTACCCAGATCAGACCATTTGCCCTGTAGCCCTCAGGCCAGGATCACTGTGCCCTTGTCACAGTAACCTCCTTGGAAGACTGGCCAGTTGACACCACCAGTGCTATGGAGCTTATGGGAACCTCTGTGCACCTTCCATGCCACCTGGACGTTTCAGGAAAATTTAAAATCCCCAACCCAGGCCCTCCCTTTCTATGTCACACCTTACTGCCTGTTTTTTTTTTTTTTTTAAAGATTTTATTTATTTATTTGACAGAGAGATAGAGAGAGAGCACAAATAGGCAGAGCAGCAGGCAGAGGAAGAGGGAGAAGTAGTCTCTCCGCTGAGCAGGGAGCCTGACATGGGGCTCGATCCCAGGACCCCGGGATCATGACCTGAGCCGAAGGCAGCCGCTTAACCGACTGAGCCACCCAGGTGCCTGGTACTGCCTGTTTTATACTTAAAAATTTTTTTCTTAAATTTTTAATTTGAATTCAATTTAGTTAACATATATTGCATTGTCAGTTTCAGAGGTAGAATTTAGTGATTCATCAGTTACATACAACACCCAGTGCTCATTCCATCCAGTGCCCTCTTGAATGCCCATCACCCAGTTACCCCATCCCCCACCCACCTCCCTTCCAGCAACCTTCAGTTTGTACCCTACAGTTAAGAATCTCTCATAGTTTGCCTCCCTACCTGTTTTCTTCTTCTTTTATTTTTCCTTCCCTCCCCCTATTTTCATCTGCTTTTTTTCTTAAATTCCACATACAAGTGAAATCATATAGTATTTGTCCTTCTCTGACTGACTTATTTTGCTTAGCATAATACCTTCTAGTTCCATTCATGTCATTGCAAATGGCAAGATTTCATTCTTTTTGATGGCTGGGTAATATTTCATTATATATGTATATATATAATGTATAATACATTATATATAATGTATATAAATAAATAAATAAATAAATAAATGAATAAATAAATAACACATCTTCTTTATCCATTCATCTGTCAATAGACATCTGGGCTCTCTCCATAGTTTGGCTCTTGTGGACATTGCTGCTATAAACATTGGGGTGCATGTGCCCCTTTGAATCACTGTGTTTATATCCTTTGGGTAAATACCTAGTAGTGCAATTGCTGGATTATAGCGTAGTTCTATTTTTAACTTTTTGAGGAACCTTCATTAAATAAAAAATTTAAGAAAAAAATTTTTAAGTATAAAACAGGCACTAAGGTGTGACATAGAAAGGGAGGGCTTGGATGGGGCAATTTAAAGTCTCCTGAAACTTCCAGGTGGCATGGAAGGTGCACAGAGGTTCCCATAAGCTCCATGAAGGGTGATTTAAAGTTATATTTTTAAGCTTTGAGGAACCTCTGTTTTCCAGAGTGGCTGCACCAGCTTGCATTCCCATCAATAGTGTAAGAGGGTTCCCCTTTCTCCTCATCCTCGCCAACATCTGTCATTGCCTGAGTTGTTAATTTTAGCCATTCTGACCAGTGTGAGGTGGTATTTCATTGTAGTTTTGATTTGCATTTCCCTGATGCTGAGTGATGTCAAGCATTTTTTCATGTGTCTTTTGGCCATTTGTATGTCTTCTTCAGAGAAATGTCTCCTCATGTCTTCTGCCTATTTCTTGACTGGATTATTTATTTTTCTGGGTGTTGAGTTTGATAAGTTCTTTATAGATTTTGGATACTAACCCTTTATCTGATAAGACATTTGCAAATATCTTCTCCCATTCTGTAAGTTGCCTTTTAGTTTTGTTGACTGTTTCCTTTGCTGTGCAGAAGCTTTTTATTTTAATGAAGTCCCAATAGTTCATTTTGCTTTTTATATTTAAATTCAGTTTAGTTGAAATATAGTGTATTATTAGTTTCAGGGGTAGAACTTAGTGATTCATCAGTTGCATAGAACACCCAGTGCTCATTACATCAAGTGCCCTTCTTAATGCCCATCACCCAATTACCCCATCCCTCCTGTTTTATACTTTTTAATACCCACCTGAGATGTCTTCATGGAGGATAACAAACAAAGAAAAATAGAATCTCTACGAAGATAGAGCCAAGGTTATTAAGGACAGTAGGTCAGAACATTCTTATTTTTTTTTTTTAAAGATTTTATTTATTTGACAGAGAGAGAGACAGTGAGAGAGGGAACATAAGCAGGGGGAGTGGGAGAGGAAGAAGCAGGCTTCCCACGGAGCAGGGAGCCTGATGCGGGGCTCCATCCCAGGACCCTGGGATCACGACCTGAGCTGAAGGCAGACGCCTAACGACTGAGCCTTCTAGGCGCCCCAGGCCAGAACATTCTTTTCAGAGAGCAGAACAAGGGAATTGCTAGACTAGCTGACTGTCAGGTGTCAGGGCTCTCCAGAGAAACAGAACTAATAGGATATATACAGAAGTATAGAAAGAGGTTTATTATGAAAGATTGGCTCACGCAGTTATGGAGGCTGAGAAGTCCCACACTTTTTCAGCTATAAGCTAGAGGCCCAGGAAGGCTGGTGGTATAGTTCCACTCTAAACCCAAAGACCTGAGAACTAGGGGAGCCAATGGTGTAAGTTCCAGTCCAAGTCCAAAAGCCCAATATCAGGGAGGTTGATATTTAAAGAATCAGTCTGAGTGTGAAGGTCTGAGAACCAGGAGCAGCATTGTCTGGGGGCAGGAGAAGATGGATGTCCAGCTCAAGAAGAGAGTAAATTTCCCCTTCCTTCACCTTTTTGTTCTATTCAGGCTCTCATCAGAATGGATGATGTCTGCTCTCATTGGTGAGAGGGATCTTCTTTACTCAGTCTACCTATTCAAATGCTCATCACTTCCAGAAACACCCTCACAGATACACCCACAAATAATGTTTTCCCAACTATCCCGGCATCCCTTAGTCCAGTTAAGTTGACATATAATTAACCATCACACTAACCAGGACATTACTGCCAGGGCAGGGATAACAAT